ATTATATAATTATTATATACAATTATTAATGAATAAACTATTCATTTTCTCTTCTCTTAAGTTACACCATTATGAATCAAATTATTATTTATGTTGGATTTCATGTTTATCCTCAACAATAAAGTTATGAGTTATAACAATTGTTGTAATTATTTTAAAATTTAATGTAAAGAAGGCAATAAAAATTAATAATATGGCAGTTATAAATCTATCTATCTATTTATATATATAATGCTACCCTATACATTAAATAAGTATGCATTTATATGTATAAATAATACTAATTAAATTTACATATAATATAAGTAACTGAAAAAATTAATCATTAATTTGGTAGATGAAGAGGCAAGACCATAGCCAATTAATTTCTCAATAGAAGATATTTTAAATGAATATTATAGTATGATAATTACTAATTATTAATGTTAAAAAGATAATAATATTTATATAATATACGTAATTGAAAAAATTAATCCCTTGGTAGATGAATAGGCAAGACCATATATAACCAAATAATTTATCAATAGAAGACAATTTAAATGAATATTATAGGGTACGCAAAATATTCATGTGCAATTTATATACCCAATTTCATTAAATAGGGTATGCATTTATTTAAAATATAATATTATATTAATTTAAAATATTGAAACAAAATATGCAAAATATATGAAAATTATAAATTATAAATAAATGAAAAAAATAAAAGAAAATTATAAAGGATAATAAAATGATAGATAGGCAAATAATTGAAAATTATAAATGATAAAAATAATTGATGAATAAATATGGTAGATGAAGCAATGTTATCTTAATATAAAAAAACAAAAGGTTTAAATATTTAAAAACTCCTAAATGAAGAAAATGAAGAATCAATGTTTAAATGTATAAATGCATATCCTATCATGATCTTTGATGCTATCTTTTTTCCATGATTTTTCTCTATACTCTTTTATCTTCTTATCCTTCCATCCAAGGTTTTTAAAACCGAACCGGTCATTGAACCATTTTCAGGTCCGATTCTTGGTTTAATCGGTTCAACTAGTTGAACCGATGAACCGATCGGTCCAAACAGCAAGGAAGATTTGATGAAAGGAGCAAGTTGCAGGCATGGATTTTCTAATTTGGTGTTGATAATTTTGTAATTTTGTTAAAATTAAAGGTTAAAATGGGTATAAGAAAGGAATGGGAAGGGTGAAATTGGAAAAAATTGAAAGAAGATTGCATGAGAAATCGAACCGGTGATTTTTTCGGTTCCATCGGTTTTCATCGGTTTTCATTGATTTTCATCAGTTTTTATCGATTTTGACCGGTTTTTGATCGATTTTGACCGATTTTGACATCAAACGATTTTTTTATGTAGACCGAACCATTTTCATCACCGAGTACCGGTCCGACCGGTTGTCCGGTTTTAAAAACCTTGTTTCCATCTTCCTCCCCACCTCTAATCATTAATCTATACTAATATATCATATTCTCCTCTTCATCACTATAATTCCTTTTTACTAATATGGTGAGTTCCAAATATATATTTTTTTTCATGTTTCATATTGTAACTAAATATAATATTATGTTTTTATTTTCTTGTGCCTTTTTTCCTCTTTGTCCAAAATATGTATATTGTTGTATGAAATAAGGATTACTATTGTTTTTTATGAATTTTTTATAAAACATATGATATTGCTCTTTTAAAAGAATTTTGTAACTTTATTTGTTTAAATTTTATGCATTCTTTTCTTTGTAGACTATTGATTGATGATTTTTTTTTTTTTTTGGCTTATTAAGGAGAAAACTTCACTCATAAGATTGGCGTCCATTAGAGCAATAAAAGTGTTGTTTCATACACTAAACTAAACAAGAAAGGTATGAATTTGATAAAAATCAAGTCATATGAAAATATTATATATATATATATATATTTTTTTTGTTTTTGCAAGAAGATATTATGTTTTTTATTTTATTTTTTTTATGGGGATGTTTCTT